TTTTATTTAAAATATTTTAATAATTTTAATATCTAAATTACAAAAAAATACAAAAAAAATACAATTCCTATTGAAAAATACATTTCAAAAGAATTATGTTTAGCAGAACTTTTGAGATTTTTTTGGTTGGAGTGAAATATAGAGAATGGGAAGAAACTTTCTTTATTTGAATCAGAAAAATATTTAGAGTGGAGAACCCCCTTTTTTTTTCTTGGTTTTCTTTTTTCCATTGAACAGCACCAATGAGGAGAGAGAACAGATTCAACAGACAGACCCTAATTTCATATAATAATAATAATAATAATAATAATATCCTTTAATACTTGACCAAACAAGGTACATCAGTTCAGTCTCACCACAAATCAACTGGTCAAGGTTTTATTGGCATCCACTCGTATGGACAGACAAATACTATGTACAGGAAAGTTCCCAGATTTTCTTGTGGAATTCTCTACATATATACAGCATGTTCAAGACTTGACCCTCTCTAATCAAAACAGGAGAAGGCAGAGGATGATGCAACAGAAAAGAAAGATGCATACTCTACTAAGAGACTTGTCAAGTTGCATCTCATGCCTTCTCATCCTAAGATTGTTATTTCCCAAAAAAGGGTAGGAATTTTGGTGAGGTTGAGCAGACAAACTTGTCCCTGAGCTCCCAAAGAACCCAGCATAAACCATTTCCCCAAACATTGCAATTGTTGGATTGAATAAGTTTGTCATTGGAGTGCTACCAAGATTAGATGATGCCATGGCTGCATAACCTCCATATGTGTGAGGGAAGTATTGTTGGTGAAGAAATGACTGGGAATGAGAGTGATAAAAATTTTCATGAAGTTGCGGGCTTGGATGTGAAATAGAAGTAATCAACCCAGAAGGTTGTGGTCTAGGGGGTATGTGCAGACCCAAGTGGGGCTTCTTGGATTCAAATTCTGAAGATGTGCCACGGCCATAAAGGGGAACCAACAGACTAGGAGAGATGTCAGTCTTGCAGACAGGACATTTCTGCTCTTGTTGATCTTCACTGAGAGAGGACTGGACATGAAGCCACTGGTAAATGCATGGCCAGCAGTACAGGTGACCACAGACGGTGACTACAGGGTCTTCAGCAGAATCTAAGCAAATGTTGCACTCAAAGCTGCTACCGTCCTTTTCTGGATCTCTTCTTGGAGCTGTGATAGAACACCTTTTCTGCTTGGGAGAAAAATCTCCATGAGATTCAGAGTTTGTACTTGACTCGAAGAAGTTTTGCTCCATGGTTGCTCTGTTGCAAATATAAAACATCCTTAGCATAGATTGGTAGAAGTATCCACGGCCAGGAAATAAAATAGAAAAGAACTATTTATACATTTAAAAGAGGCATATTCACAAAAGCATACTCATATACCAACTACGAGAGCAAAGTTTTCACTAGAATGAAAGAATAAGTGCATACAATATTGCTACTAGCAAAATTTCTTATAAAGTGCAAGGTCAAACGAGGAAGTAACAAGTCAATACCTTCTTAAACCAAGAAATTACACATACAAGCATCTTGTTCAATGAATTAATTCATTTTTTAAAGGTAACAAAAGGGAGTGTGAAATACACTCAGTTAAGTAGAAAAGAGACAACAAGTAAAAATCAAAGTCCATCAACCAACAAGCATTTATGAATAGAACATAGAAAATAAACCTTTTTAACTCCATTGCAACAAAACTAAGGACAGGTAAGGATATCTAGAGAGGCAGCATGGTAAGTTACGTTGGGCTCTTTAGCTCCCTTTATATTCCTCTCGACCTATGAGTGATAATCTTTAAAATGAAAAAGGCTACTAGAACTTCTCTAAAGTTATCATTTCCTATAAGATATTCAATTTCATCCAAGCTGAAATTTTGTTCATGATACCCCTTTATATTCTATATAAGGAACGATCCATCTCTTGGAGAAAGAAAAATGTCAAAGTCATGGTCCTAAATCATTATATAATATTTTGAAAAACAGGTTATTTATGGTCAAATACCAATAGCTAGATTAAACAATTAAGTTTGACAACCCCTAATAGACGACATTCACCTCATCGTTTCCATTCTGAACAACATAAATCAAAAAGTTCATTACATGATTCATTGTAATTTGTAGCCATGAAACAAAACCTTACCTCCATTCAGTTATGCTAACCAAATCATACTGATTTAATCAAAATCAAATAAATTGGAAACAAATTTGAAAAGGGCATATCTCTTGTAAAAAATTTCACAACTTTACTCTTCGAGGGTCAATTAATTTCCTGTAAAGGAAAAACCTTTCAATCATCAATCATTCACAACAAGATTCACAGAATCATAACCCTTTTCAATCAAATCCGGTAAAGCAACGAAATTTTCCTCCAGATATGTTACATATTCAAGAATCAGGAAAATATCAAAACTCGAAATGAGTATCATTATATATCAAACAGATTTTGAAAACCCAGATAAAGAATTGGAGCAATGATCCAGAAATGAACCCAGAAACACCAATCAAAAACATCAAAATAGAAAAGAGAATCGGGAACATACCAATCCAGAAGAAATTGAAACAGATGAAAATGTGAAAGAGGGGTTGAAGGAAACTGGCTGATCTTTGATAAACAACGTCAATGGATATCTGAAGACAAAGAAATGGATAGCATATACTACCCGTTGTATTGTAGATTTTTCCTGGAAGGGGGTTTGTTAAGAAATGGCAGAGAATGAATTGCGGGGAAGAAGATGAAACTTTTTTATAGAAGAAAGAGATCTTAATATCCGCCTCCTGTTCCTGGTGCCATTGTAAATCTGCGGGCGTTCGCCTTTATGCAACCGTAGCCGCGTTTTTGCTGTATTATGTCTTGGACGGTCGGACTCGGACTTGGACCCGTAAATTTTTTCCTTGGTTCATAAGTTATAATCGAGTACTACGCGTAAGAATTTCGATCCAGTACTATGTCACCTGTATGCTTGACACGTGTGCATGAATAATTAGGCTTTTTCTTATATCTTAATGAAAGGATATAAAAAAAACGAAAATATGGCATCCTAAGTCACACTCATATAAAAATTAAAGACTTCAAAAGATTAGTTGACTTTCAATATTAGTTAAGTTTTAATATTGATAATTTTAGTGTTGAATTTTACCATGAAAATGGTAATAGCAATTAGTTAAGTTTTAAAAGATTAGTAAACTTCTTTCTTTTTTTTTTTTGACTAAGGAGAATTGTTGGGAATATGAGAATATTGCCTATGAATAAATTGCAGGACTTTCATGTTCAAGCAGGTTTTTACAAAGGAGATAGTCACTAGACCACATAGTACCGAATAAAAAAGTAATAGACTTATAAAAAAACAATAGATAGAAAATAAGTAAAGAATAATGGTAATACCTATTTTACCATAAAAAAAATGGCAATACCTTTTTCTTTTCTCTTATTTTAGTAGAAAATCTAATTAATATTAAAACCAAGATAGTCGTTTAATAAATGCTTTTTATTTAAAATTTTTCTTAAAATAATAATTTTGTAACCTTATAATTATAATTAAGTCAATTATTCTTGAAAAAACGGGAGTACAAACTCCTTAATATTAAAAATTTATTTAAGACAAATTTTAATATTAAAAACAAAAAATATTTGTTTAATAATATTAAAATTATTTTTGTTTTTATTTCTTTAATATTCAAGATAATATGTTACAAAAATGCATAAAAATAAACAAACTTTTTTATTTAGAATTACAAAATTTATTAAAATCAAAACCAAAAATTACAATCATATAAAATGAAGCCTTAAACTTTTATAAGAAGATCCATAATTTTTTACCCAAAAAAAATGTTTTTCAATTTTACCAACAATCGAGTATGGTTATTTGGTGGTCCCAAAGAAAGAAAAGTTGGTTTAGCATTTCGTCAGGTCTGTCGCTGGACTCTTGCTGGGTAATATATAAAAGAGAACAAGCTTCCAATCTTCATTTTTTGTCATCCGAAAATGATAATAATTCATATAAGAAACAGGAACGTGAATATATTATCCAGATGAAGAAGATACAACTGCATCTTTGATAACCTATACAAGGGATAAGAGTTTATTGTTGGAGCAAAGGATCTGCACTTGAGCCATTGAACGTTAATGATGGAAGGAACAACTTACTTCATCGAAGGCTACCTTTTATATACCACCGCAGCCCAGTGAGCTACAGGAATTTCTCTATGCTGGTTGTCAAGGTGGATTTGGGAACGGCACCAATAATTGCGTCTTTCTTCTCACCATTCTTGAAAATTATCACCGTGGGGATGCTTCTAATTCCATACTCGGTTGCAACTGATGGGCTCTCGTCAGTGTTAACTTTGTAACATTTGAGCTTCCCAGCATATTGCTTCGACAGTTCATCAATTACAGGGTGAATCATGCGGCAAGGACCACACCAAGGAGCCCAGAATTCAACCAATACAGGTAATTCAGATTCAAGAACAAGCGACTGCCATGTTTTGTCAGTGACAGAAGGCACTGCAAATTTCAAGAACAGGCATTTTTATTCTAAGAATAATCTGATTTCTCTCATTATAACAACTCACAAAACGAGTAGGACTACGAATTACTTTGGGTTTGGTTGAAATCTAAGATAGAAAATGAGAACAAACCAGTTTCCCTGATGCACAACTACAATACAGGTAATAGTTATCAATAGAATAAGTTCACAATATAAGTTGTGATTCATATATTCAGCCCTTTAGGAAGAACAACATATAATAGCATACAAGACTATAACATCTTCTATTGGTCGGCTAAAGATTGTGTTGATTGAGAAAATCTCGCATCCATGATATAACAAAAAAGAATGTAACTTAAATACAAATACAAGGAGAGCTATAAGGTTGAATGCAAATAGTGTTGAAGTTTGCACTCAATTACCTGATCATGAAATTCTATAAAACGATTTAACCACGAATTAATTCTGTCGAAAATAATACAAAATCTCAACTAGATTTTTGTTTTTCTGAATTCTAGTCTACTAACTAACAACAAACGCAAAACCAAAAAAATACGCAAGTAAGTTCAACGGATGATAGGGAAATTCCGATCCATACCATCGACGGCGGTATCCTGAGCCTCGCAGATGATTCGCGCGCCGCGAGAGACTCTGGAGTTGGGACTGGTTTTGATCAATCCAAAAGACCGCACGAGAGAAGTCCGCCTCATCTTGAGCCCTCTAAACTCCGGTAACCTGGCCGATCTCCTGCTACCAGAGACCGGAGACAGCAAAGAAGACGAAGAAGCGGTGATGGGAGAGAAAGTAACAGAGGCCATGGGTGAAGCAGAGGATCGTAGGTGTATGGAGGCGAGAAGGGGAGATCTGAGGGAGGAGGAGAGGCGAGGCGAGAGGGAGTGTGGTTGAATTTTTTTT